AGAGCTGCGCTCACTCGAAGAAGTCCAGCGGGGTGGGTGGAGTTTCGGGGGGTTCGCAAGAGAGCTCCGTCACTCGAAACTTCTGGAGCTCCTCCAAAAGAATAGAAATCAAAACCCAAGTGATTGAACCAAATGGTTGAACAGTTTGAAAAGTGACCCAAACAAACCAAGTGACCCTCATCTCCCCAAGTGCTGCAAGGGTCGCACTTTGATCGATCCAACGCCTCGGGCGCCGGGCCCATCCGCAGACCGTGACCTTCTGTCCGATCAAGGACTTGCCGCCGTCGGCCGCCTGGAGCGATTGCTGTTGAAAATCAAGTATGACACAACACTCGAGCTGTAGCCCCGAAGTCCCAGGTGAAATGGATGGAATCCAAAGGAGTCTGGGTATACAATCCAAAGGGGTGGGTGGGATACAATCCAAAGGGGTGGGTGGGATCTTTTCCTGATGAATTTTTGTGACCCCGGTGTTGATCTAAAGGCTCCAGGCTTGTTCTTTGGATGATCACTAAGACCCTGGAAGTCCGTTGGGCCATGTTTTTTTAATGGTTGGTCTGGTTGTGTGGGTGTAGTTCTTTGTTAGAACAATGGTTGTTCGGGATTCACTTTTTTTTCCATCAATGGTGGCTCGACTTCTGGGGAAGAGGCAAGCACCTGGGGATCCTTTCCAGTGATAGCAGTTAGCTGGTGTGGGAAGGATGTAGATGGACAGTTGTGCACCTTACAGGGCCAGTAGCCCAAGAGTCGGCTGCGCCAGTTAGAAGGAGAGAGCCTGGATTGAAATTCCAAACATGCTTACCAAAATGTCCATAAAGGGTGAGCTTGGCGTTGTCTCGGAGGCATGTGCAATTGCGCATGTCCGATACACATCCCTGCCTCATGTCAAAATGCTCACTATGCCTATGTATCACGCCAGCATGTCCAACACCACGAACTCTTCCCCGGGCACGCTACAGGTTGCCCCGCTAAGCCCTGATATAGCTGCTGAAGGCTCATAGAAGTCTCGTAGGACAAGGCCAAGGTCAGCAAGACCACAAACATGAATCCGGCACCTTCCCCCTTCACGATCAAAGATCTGCTCGCCTCAAGGATCTGCTTCACCCGTAAGCGCCCGCCGACCGCGGAGTTGAACCTCAAGCCAACGGATGAGGCTAAAAGCCAACAACGGCGCAAAACGATGCAAAAGGACCAGTGAATTCTTCTGGTTGGTGCCTTCAACTCAGAAGAATGTTAGTCAAGTGGGCTCTGCTTCACCCCAAGTAAGGGCAGGTAAAGGCACAAAACTCTGAAATATCTGAAACCACCCAGTCTGGTGATTTGCAACCCAAACAAGCTTCATTGACTTCAGTACTTGGGGCTTGCAGCTCTGAAATCACTCCACCACTCCTTGCCCACCCCATCTGAGCGCCAACGTCGTTGGAGCTTCGATCGCTTCAGCCTCTTCCAAACGAGCCGCCGGGTGTGGGTACAAGTACCAAGCGATAAGGTGTAGGCCCAGGCGGATCTAAGCTCTCAAAAGATGTGTTCAATCTTCGTCAAGCACAGATTGGCCAGAAATCTCAAAACCCTCCTTCCCAAGTTCAACAATCCGTTTCTCTCAGCCGGAATTCAGAATTCCTGCCATCTGCCCCGCACCTCGCCGCCACGCGCCAGCAGCGTGAGGCCCCGCTTGCGCAGCGCCCGGGCGCTGGCACGGAAGGCTGCACGAGGGGTGCGGAAGGCTGCACGCTGCCTGTGATTGGAAAGTGGGTCCGTGAAATACATGGAGCGTGCGGGGCGTGGACGTGGTTGGACTGGGAGACCCTGCAGTTGGACCTGCTCGAAGAAGGAAACTGGACCAACACCCCAAATCCATGGGTTTGGGGCGCTGAACAAGGGGGCTCACACCCATTGAAATAGGGAGACCGAACCGCAGGTCTTCCGACCCTCTGGGTTTGGAACATGTCTCCCCTACCCAGCCGAGAAAGGGTCGAGATGTTGGAGGGTATTCCGTACCGATCCTGGGCAAACCACTATGTAAGGAACCAGGGATTCGTTCGGTCTATGGTTTTAGTCTTTGGAACCACTGGGACTCCCAGCTATAGTGGTTTGCCTGGGATGTCCTGGGCTTCGTCTTGAAATGCACATCCATCAGGCGCCGGCTTCTCAAGCCTTTAGGGAGGAGATCCTGTAAGGAAGCATTCCAAGGATGACCCAAGGTCTTTAGCAAGCGGTTGGCATGGGAGGTCGTTGAACCTGATCGTCAACCTTCGAAGAAAGGTTCTGTACATCAAACATCTCCCTCTGAATCGCCCTCTCCGTAACATAGACTTGTTGATTCTTTCTTTTTAAGGCTTCAGGATCTGTTGAGTCTTCCCCTGCCAAAAGAGGACGACCGCACACGAAAAGCAGGGTGCGTGAAGCAAAACCTCCAGCGCTGCCAGGCCCAGCCGATACCAAGGACCCCGGACGAGATTAAGCCCAAGACCACCGCACTGGATGCAGCTGCGCTGTAGGTGCCAGCAGCTCCTGCAGCAAGGAGGATGTTGTACTGCGGCGTTCAAGGTCACAAGGTCTTAGTTGCGACAGGAACACACCAAAAAGATCCAAAAAGCATGAAAGACTATGATGACCTCTGCATTGTACAACCAAACAGGCTGTTAAGCATCTTGCATTGCTCCAGTGTCGAACTCACACCTTACGTGTGTGAAGAAGCACTCCCTGACTCACCTTCCAAGGTGACACCCCCAAACTCTTGGGGTGTCCACGCTTAAGAAGGAAAGTGCTGTGGGAAGCTACCTCTGCAAGACCTCCAGATCATCTATTGAACCATATATATCCATATATAGTCTTCAAGACATTTCAAGACCATATACCCATCGGTTGGTACGCACATTTTTCGGGGCATCCCTCTGTTAACCAACCAACCAATGTTAAGAGGCCATCACCGCACCCCCGGTGATGCTCCGTGATGCTCGCCTCTCTGCCCCGACGGGAAGCGGCACGGCCGGGAAGCGAGGGTGGAACGGAGGTTCGGTGCCTCGGGCGGCCAACATGTCCTCACCATGAACGCGCGCGCCACAAGTTTTCACACGCGCCACAAGTTGATATGACATGGATGCTTCATGTCAAGGCAGGTTTTGGCCATTGCCTCAGTTGAAGACAAATATGATGCCTCAGTGGCATCAGATATCATGAAATATCTGAAACCATAGATACATCTTTCTACACCGGTGGGTCTCTTCTTCCACTTTCATGTTTGTTGGAGGAACCCCACCCAGTGACTAGTTGGGACCACCGGAGGTGGTTACGGAAGTTGCTGTTCGCAGCCATGGCCCACTTCCAACACTTCCAAAAAACTGGCATCATCTGAGGCAAGATCCGAAGCAACCGTGTTATTTTTATCAACCAGGAGTCACAAAACGGGGGGCCGAACTTGGAGGATAGGGGTGCCCATTATCCACTCACTTAGGGACTAAACACCACCCCGTCTGGTGACTCCTGGAATGATCTTCATGTTGACCTGTCTTGGAGCCCCAGACTGGATGGATGGCCAAGAATTGGCTGCCGCAGCTGATCACGCAGCTGATCACGCAGCTCCGATGGCCACAATTTGTGCTACCGGAATTCTTCAATCAGTTCTGAATCAGCTATCAGGTGGGACAAGCACCGGGTGGGACAAGCCAGCGAGGGTTCCGGATTCTGTCATCTCCTGTGCGCTCCCAGATGGGGTTGTATTACTCACTGGCCCTTGGCCCATCCGCCGTGGCTCACGCTGGGCACCCCCGGCCGCGTGCTTCAAGGCCGGGCCACGTGTGGGCGCCAACATGGCCTCGGGTGGGTCTCAAGGATCCGTCCAAATCCATGCATCAAGGGCTTAAGCTGGTTGAACCCCCCCGCCTGGCCCAACAGATCACCCATGATGTAAGGGATATATACCAGGACCTTCCAAGACGTGCCCAAATGGAAGCCCCTACACTACTAAAGGACCTCCATTGGACACCCCTTGAAGGTCCAGGTATATATATATATATGTCATATGTCATATGTCGTACAAAAAATCACAGGGGTGGCTCTGTCGCAAGGATTTGAGCAGAAATCCTTGCAAGACCCATGTTGGCATGTGACTTCCGATCAGTTGGGGTGGATAGATTGAGGGGTCACATCTTCTCGGCAGGACAGATTTGATTGCTTTTAAACTACAACAAGTGGTCTAGGGGGTCCCTCTTAGCACCAAGAAAGTTGAGGAGCAGGGGACGACATGAAGGTATGATCACATTGGTCTGGAAGAAATGCAAGGAACACTTGCTTCCCAAAGACTATGTTTTTGGCCAAAGAATACTTCAAAATGAAGACCATACTAAACTAAAGAGCTTCTAAAAATCCCAAAGACTTATTGGAGCTACCCTGGGGGTGCCGTTCTTTATCTGAAACCACCGCCCCAATGACTCAGCCCACCTTCGCAGGGCAGCCCCGCTCGGGCGCACTCCACCGCTCGGGCGCCGCGAAGAGCAGCCCCTCCACCGCTCGCTCGCGCGCGGGGTGCGTCTGGGTCGAGCCAGCGAAGGCGAGAGCAACGGAGCTGAAGGCCACAAGCTTTTGACATGCACTACCACCACCACTACCACAAAATACTTCCGCCCAACAATGGTAAAGGATCTGCATTCTGCGGTGTTTTTTATGAATCAACTGTCGAGATGTTCATAACCCCACCGTCATTCTTGGTGATTGCCCACGGAACAGAACTTCTCCGTGTGAGCCTTGGAGAGTGACCGGAAGCAGCCCGCTTCCAGAAGTTTGTGCAGAGCCAACGACAGGACTCCCGACGGAGCCAACGACATGGGCAGGTGAGATGAAGACTCGATGGATGGAAGCGGGGTGTCTTGAGTCTGGACGTGTGATGTGCGACAACAATGTTATAACCCGAAAATGTAAGACACAAAAATGTTAGTATGATTGATAAACCTGCCTGGCAGGAAACCTTTACAATACATCTCTCATCCCTATCCCCACTTTCCATCCTTGTCGCAGGACCACTTTTCATCGCTCAGATCTCCCTGCTCCAATCTTTGGGAACAGGAATTGAAGCATTTGAAGCTTCATGTCAAAGTCGATCTCCATGGAGTAGTCGCCTCTGCGGAACGCGGCATCCACCTCCCAAGATCTTGCATCTTGCGGGCTGAGATTCCTTGCTGCGTCTCCAGGTCTTCACATGTCTTCACTGCCGACCGGATGTCAGCCACACCAGTCTAACATCAAATCTTGCCAGCTGCCCTTGGCTCCGCTGAAAGACCACCAAGGACTGGCCCCTTCTTTTCTCCTGCTCCCCGTCCGACGACGTGCCGATGTCCGCGGTTCGGAGGTTGGAGGCGTTCCACCTTGCAAATCTGGACCGAGCAGGCGCTGAGCGGGGAGCAGGGACGCAGCTCGGGGCAGCCCGGCGTGCCGGCTATTCTTAGTGTCTGTCCTTTGGAGGGGCGAAGCTGACCCAACCAGCTGACCCCACCAGCTAGCCACCCACTTCGTAGAGTCGGCCGATGTCCATGGAATAGCCGAGAAGTTCGAAATCCCTCTGATAGCGCTGGAGCCTGGGGTGCTGCTTGCAGAGCTTCGGTCAAGGTTCGGATCTTGTCTTGTTGTGTGTGGGAAGGCTGACATGGGGCTGACCGGGAGTCGTCAAAAGAACCGAGGGAGAATCTTTGCTCTTCGGAATTCCCAAGTTGGAAGAGCAATGCATTCCAGTGGACGGCATATTTAAATGAATGCATGGAATCTGGACCATGGAGAACTGCATATAAATGCATGTTTATGTTACTCGATCCAGTCCAGTTGACTGCAAAGATCAAGTTTCGAAGAAGAAACACGCGTGGGCGTGGGCCAGATTGCCAACAAATCGTTAGAGGCCTCTCTGCAGCCACATGTGCCCAGTCTCTCACTCACCCACTTATCTATACCCATGTTGGGCAAATCCTCAACCTCCCCAGCCCCCAAAACGGCCGAGCAGCAGCCGAACCTGCTGCACCTGCAATGCCCGGCGCCACAGCACGCCCGTCGCGGTGCCACGCGCGGTTGCCCGGCGCTTGGCACCCCGGTTGGCTGGCAGCAGTGGGGGCAACGGCCTCACCGAGGGGCTGTCCCGCTTTGACAATGGGTCAACTGACAACCCCTGCAGTGCCCAACAATCATTGGGGTGGAAAATCTGAAAGCATCTCTAAGCCATCTTCTTCCAAAGCAGCCCAAGTGGAAAGTCTGTACATGTAGCATGTGGAAGGATCAACTGATGTTGCCCAGAAAACTGTATGGGTGTCAAAGCTCAAGCTTCGGCACCTGCAGTAGCCCAGCTCTCGACAGAGGCGCAGCTCTAAGCGCTCAAGGTCTGCCTGGAGACGTTCCAGGTGAACCTGGGCGCCCATGAGAAGCCAACCGGCAGGAGCACATGGTCGAATGGCTCATGGACCATGGCCTCAGGCACCCTGAGAAGATCTGAAAATGATTCGAACGAACTCCGAGTGGGGTATTGACCCTCAGTTGTTGGGTATGTTGTACCTTTGGACTACGGAGTCTACTGCATCCAATTCGCTGTACAGTACCCGCCCTGTCGAGAAAAAAGAAAAACACCAAAACCCAAGACTGACCACCCGCCCCCCTTCTGCCCGGCCACGAGGTGAAGCCCTTCTGACCAAAGACCACTTCCTGGACCACGGTTCCCCGGCGAAGTAGGACATCCGACGGGAGGACACCACATGTCGTGTGGAGGAGATGTTTTGTGGGAGGTCGCGTTTCTTTTTCCTTCAAAACGGTTGGGAAGTGGACCTGGAAAGATGGGCCTTGCAGTTCGAAGAGCAAAAACAAACCATGGCCCTAGCGAGGTCCAGGTCTGGTAATAGCAAAATCTCTCGGGTCGTTCAAGCAGGGGCTAAATGTAACGACTGCTTGTTTGGCCAAAGGAATATATCTGAAAGAGACTCGGCCTTGGAGGCTGAAGATGTGTTGCCTACAGATCTGGACTTTGTGTGTCGTGTCAGGCTATATAACTCTATATATTATATGATGTATGTAACCTATATAATATATATGTATTATTATTATTATAGTATACTATATATATATATTATGTAAATACCAATTATATCCAATTATGCAAATATAGCTTCATCACTACTGTGCCTCCTGCTTGAAACAAGGCCTCCTGCTGCGCCCGCGTCCGCTCGCACCCCTCGCTCACCGAGCGTCGGTTCAACTCGCTCACCGGCCCAGCGTGCACTTTGACGCTGTGAAGCTCCAGGCGGGTCATCCAGGTCGTCTCCCAACGGCCTTCGCCTGGACCAGAGGTTTTTCATGACCCGAACTAGACTATCCCATAGAGGTATCCCATACTAGACTATCCCAGTTGGGTATCCCATACTATCCCTACATGACCCGAACGTTCGACTATCCCAGTTGGGTATCCCATTAAGGTCCTAGTTCAGGTCACTTGACCTCTGTTGGGAACGCGTGCGCGACGCCAGCCGCGAGCACCGAGGCGGCGGCGGTTTGGGTGTAGGCACTGCGGGGGAGTGGCTGTGGGGAGTGGCTGTGGGGGAAGATGTCATACCATGTCGGACCTCACTATAGTAAACAAACCAATGGTTGTTCGGAATCTGGGCAGTCCAATGTATAGTTTGGAAGTTGGAATCCAAGAAACCCTGCCTTGTGCAACCAGTCGTCACCCCGGGCGAATGTCCAATTCCAAACTCTTTTTCAAGAGCACTTTCCCCTTCCAACAGAGGTTGAAGGACCCCAAAAAGACTACCCTATAGGTGCCCCAGGTTTTCCGGGTCCTTTTGCAGGTCACGTTCCACCTCTCTTGCTTGTCCCCTTTCTTCCTCACACTCATCCAAGCTTGGCCCCCTCCCATCGGCCTGTGGCGAAGAGGATCCGCAGCTGCTCGTCCGGGGGGCCGTGAAGGGCATGGACGAAGTCGGCCGTGGCCAGGAACGCCAAGAAGCTGCGGAAGTCGAACCTCAGGAGGAGCAGCAGACGACCTGCGCGGACCCTCCAACGGCTCGGCCCTGGCGTAGTAGGCGGACCGGCGGACCGGCCCTACGCAGTCACCCAGGAGTGAGGAGCTCCGATTGGTGAGGGGCTCAAGCCTTACAGTAGATCCGTGAGGAGCAGATTTAGATAGATGTCCCATTCCATGGAGTGTCTGGGAAATAGAATCTGCCCCTCAGAGCACTGAAGAAGGCCAGGGACCTCATTTGTTGATCAAAATGTTTTAAGCTATCAGGTGGTCCACCTCGATGAAACAGAAATGACACACCTAAGCTGGGTGCACCACGAGGTTCGAAGCCCCACCCTTCGCCACCCAGCTGCTCCACCGAGCTGTTTCGCTGCAAGAAGCCCTGTGCCACCGCGCTTCCGCGCCCCGGATGCGCCTGAGGTCGGGCGCTCGGTGATCGCTCGACCGGGGCGGCTGGGGTGAAGCTCGGTGGAAGTGGGCTGAAGAAGCCGAATCCAAAGTTAATTGGGTGAACCCCATGTCTGAGGTCCAAGCTGTGAAATGGGATGGCTCCAAAAAGAAGGTGAGTTCAGGCTGGAACACACCATTTCGTCAGAGTTTACCGGCTGCATCAGGAGGGCAGCTCTCAAGTGTCCCGGGGAGGCTTTAAAACGAACCTCGGTGATGCCACCGGAACAGACTAAACCCTTGGAGGGGAGCTGTGATCCTCACAGCAAGGCCTCGAAAAAAAGTGGTCTTTCTTCTCTCGGAGATCACAGGAGCCTTGTGGCTGAAATTGGGAGACCTGCACCTCCAAGGGCACAGCAAAAGCCAAAAGTATCACGTGCAGCAGTTGAAACACACAAGCTTGGAACGGCTTCATGGTTGCCGAGCGGCCAGAAACATCTCGCGATAGGCAGAGATGAATCCTCCAGCCGGCTGGAAAAACCCATCGCTTGTGAATCAACCACGTGGCGTTCTGTCCAGGCTCAGGTGCGGTTGTTCGGATTTGGCCCAAAGAGAGAAGCCCAGCTAATTAGCTGTTAACTCAAAATGTGACCACCCAACTGGGGCACTCAACATCCTACAAGTTGCAGTCCTTGCTGCACTTCGCAGAAAACTCGTTGGGGAAAAAACATGTTTGTGCTTATTCTAAGGTTGTGAGTTGCACGGGTTTGATGGAACTCCCTGCTGGTAGGAAAAAGGTTGGCGTGGATGATCATTTCACTTAGTCGTGGGCAGTGACCCGGCTCAAAGGACGGGTCCACAACCTCACCTTTGAAAGACTCAAAGATTGTGTCCTTCAGCTGGGCAAACCTCCAGGGCCTTTAGCACTCCATGTTATCCAATATTGCCGGCATGTGCTGGCTGGGTATATAGTTAACTATATATATATACATAAGTATTATCTAATTTGTAGGTCATCGATGGTCTTAGGTCCAGTTCCATTCACCGGCCTCCGCCCTCGCCCACCGAGGCACGCGCGTAGGGGTTGCGGACCACGAGGACTTTCAGCCGGCCGTGGCCAAAGCGACAGCAGGTCCTGGGGAACGCACCGTCGGGGGCGGTCGGGTCGTAGCAGCGAAATGAGAAGTTGGTTCTGAAGCAGGTGCTCTCTTGGGTTTTCATCAGGAGCTGAGGAGAAGTGGTGACCAGGGCATCAGTGGTTCTCTATCAGTTCTATCTAGTCTGCTTCGGAACCCTTGTCATCTGGTCACTGTGCCAGCCATTGGCCGCCTCTGGGTCCCCGGTGCGCACTCGCAGCCGGGTCTCAATCCACTCCACCTGGGCACTGCCAGAGTGTCATCGCCAAAGCGCTGCGGCTGCGCCAGGCGCCTCAAGCGCTCCAGGCTCTCCTCATTCGCGTTGGTTGGGTCCTGTCCAGCGAGGCGACACTCGAGACAGCGCTTGGGTGTCCAGGTGAGGGACATCGGAAAGCAAAACCATATGACTCTCCCACCAGCGAAGCGTGGAAACCGAGAATTCCACGCTTAGTCATGAGAGTCATGACATTGACATCAAACCAAGGCCCAAATGCGCACAGCAGGGCAGACACAGCCCAATACTTTCGTATGCCACACCTACTTTGCCGCACTGTTTCACACCTAAAGTTAGAGGAAAACAGTCTTTGAGGGTACCATTCTCAGGGTCCATGTGTAGTTACTGTTGCTTCAGGCAGCTCATCTGTCTGAGCTTCCTGCTGCCTGTCCTCCCCGCGCCAGAGCCAGCGTGCCCCCCAGTCCAGAAAGCGGCGCTTGCTGGAGCCCGCATGGGGAGACCAGGTGGAGGCCATCAACCTGATCTGAGGAGGAGGAGGAGGAGGAAGAGGAGGAGGAAGGGCGTCACCCTGCTGGGATTTGCGATTCGGACATGGCCGTAGGTCAAAGCCTAGAAGCATCCTGATGAAAACATGAAGAAAGTGACCTGAGATGTGGTATGCAATGCCAACCTACCACGTATTTGGGTGTGGTTGGCCCATGCCCAGATATTCCGGAAGACTGGTCATGTTAGGGGTGGACTCCTTCCCTCAGCGCCGTGTTCCAAGATCTTTCAAGTAACTACTGATTGAACCGCAGCTACCGCAACTATACTTGATTGACAAACCCCATCTCCTAATAATTCATGGTGCATCCCAACCGTTTTGGACTTCTCCACCCAGCCACGCAAAGTCCCGGCCCTTGGGATAGTCCATCTGCAGCGCCCAGCGTGCCGTAGCAGTGGAGCCACTCTTCGAGGTGGCCATTATGGCCAGTGGAACATTCAAAGGGCAGTGGAACCAATCTCCTTGGCGCCTGCGCGGCGGAACGCGTTGTTTCTTCAGGTTCTTGCGTGCCTTTGTTGCCCGCGGCTGGTTTGCTAGGCGGTCGGTCTTGTTGTTCCACTGGGTTGATATTGGAGCTACGCGTGCCTATACACAGCTGGTTTAGATCAGAATGAGTGAGAACATTGAAGACGTGGATGCTGCAACATGCACAAAAGTCCCACCGCAGCAGCACAACTCAAAAGGTAAATGAACCCTCTCAAAATCCGAAACTAGATTAGAAATGGACCTTTTAGCGACCCTGGAAAGAACTTCCTCAGTGGAGCAAGATATAGGCTTCTTTGGACTTCATGGTCTAGGGATGTCTAGGGTATAATTCGGTGAGACTCTAGACTCCCTGAAATACCTCATGGAAGTGGAGTTCACCACCCGTGACCGAACGGGGGAAAATGGTTCATCCTTTCAGTACCGTTTTCCATCCACTCTCGTTGAAAGGAGGCGTTGTAGAAGGGCAGGTTGGCCCCACCCGTCGGTGCCACTGACCTGCTTTCCCAATCTTCACCATGACAGTTATCATGCACCAGCACTCCGGGATGCCGCCGAGAGCCTGGGCTGGTGCGAACTCAGGGGTGAAAAAGGATCTCAATGCACTTGAATGGCGATTCTATGGGTTACACACACACATATATGATATACATATATATATAATATATATATACACATAGATAGGGAGAGATACATCATTATATTGTACATATATACACACTCATTCATGCATGCATCTCATGAAGCCAAATCACATCAAACCAATGGTTCTTCTTCTTCTCCTTCTTCTTCTTCTTGCGTGCCACAGGTTCGGGGGTGAGGATATCAAACAAACGTGTGAAACTAAGTCAAAAAGATCAATGCCGCACCCGTAGGTGCCCCTCATGCCGATCAGGGATCACCTAGGAAAAGTATGGAAAAGTGCAAAAAATAGAATCGATTCGAGTCGATTTTTTGTTTTCGAGTTTCCAGGGTTTCAACCTGGCGAAAAGGCAGCTTTCAAGAGATCGCTTCCGCTTGGCTTCATCGAAGGATTTGAAGAGCGTAGCTATTGCGAGCCGAGCCACGGGCGATGCGACAGGCCGCTGCACCATGGGAGTAGAGCTCCTGGCAGTGGACCCCACCGTCGGCATGGCCGTGCCCAAAAAGGGGGGGGAGGGTGCTGGTCTGGTGACCGGCAGTGTCTGGGGCATGATGTTGTATGGATTTAAGGTGATTCTGCTGCATAATGATATGATATTTATACCTGGAGTCCTTAGGTGGCCTCGATGTTTGGACCACCAACCCACGCGAACTGTTTTCCAACTTCCTATGCAAACCGAGACCAAGTGGGCTTTCTTTTTGGGCCGGTCTACGGCATATCATCTAAGATTTTGGTGAAAGCGCCCGCTTGAACTAGGATGCCCGAAGCTGTTTTACAGTTTTACATATTCATGTTCTCCACATCAGGATGCACTCTCAAGAAAAAGAACGTGTCCTTGCTCCAAAAAGATTACCTCGAAACTTCAACTCGAAACACGGACAAGCCGCTCACTTCTGCACCCCTCCGGGCCCCTCCACGCCTCACCGGCCCACGCCCCGCGCGCGCCCGCGCGCAGCCGCCGCTCGGCCGCCAACGCCGCCCGGGGCGGCCAGGGCCCCACTGGCGCCGCGAGGGGCGCGGCGGCCAGGTGCAGGACCTCAGCGGGTCCCGCAAAAATCCTTTTGGAACCTGAGAGTCCTTTTTGTAAGTAAAACTCCTCAAGAGTCTACGTTGTTGGAATCTTCAGTTCGTGACCGAAGTTCATCGGTTGGAGGTCACAAACAGACCTGCAAAAAGCACCCAAAAAAGGACCCCCTGTTTGGGGCGTCTATGAAAAGGCCAAAGAAGTAAAAAGACGTGAAGGGGTGCCGAATAGATCTATAGTGTCCATTCAGCCTAGAAGCGATGGCCTCCAACCAAATAGCGATGGCCTCCCACCACCTGCTAGTAAAGGAAAGTAGCTTTCTCCCAGGCATCTCCACCTCCAACACCAAGCTGAGCGGCCCAGCTGTCCGTCAGGATCCGCAGGCTGCTGGAGGGAGACGCACGAACAAAGTGCTGTAGAACGGGATCCACCTGAAAGCCGCAGTTCAAAACGGGCTGAGATCCCCGAAGATCCGGTCGATCGGTCGGTCTTCTTTCGGATCCCGACTTTCCCGGCCAGCCAGACACTCACATGGGGACTGTCAATGTAGGCATACGCATACACGGAGAGTGTGGGTAAGTCAAGCAAATTGTCAAGGTGCGGGAAATTCCTGGTCTGTAGGTTCCAGAAGAGGTTGAATGACCCGAACTAGGCAAACCCATAGGTACCCCAGGTGACGGGTCCTATTTACGGTCACTGGCTACCTCTCTTGGTTGGAAATGGAACACTGAAAATTGAAACCGGGCCCCTAGCGCCGGACCAGGAACCTGTAGTGCTTGCCAACTTGCAGACTGACGGCTTCTCACCCAAAACATGTCACCAAAGCATCGAAAAGGCTTCCAAAACACGTGGACCATGCCACCTCTCTTCACCAACAACTCGCCGCCCCAGTGGGCCAAGAAACCTGGAAAAAGATCCGTCAGTACCCCTCTTCACCGCGATCACCTATTCACCGCCACCGACCATGTCAGGGTGGTCATTGGATGGAACCACCTGGGTCCGGAGGGCTCTGTTGTCACCACCCTGGGGCCCGCCCTCCGCCTGCGGACCTGGTTCGTACCGTATAGTCCCAAGAGAATGATTCCTATATCAATGACAAATCAATGGGTTTTGTTGCATGCAATGTTCTTCAATTTTGTTCTCAGTAGTATCCTTATATACCATATACCAGGACCTTCCAACAGGTCACCACCTGCGACTTTCAAGTCTACAAAAGCCTCCAGAGGAGACCTGTTGGAAGGTGCTGGTATATATATCCATATATCTCTATCAGTGAGTTTCGGGCGGCTCCGACTCAGGGGACCGGCCAGAGCCGGTGCCCCGGACCACCGACAGTGGGTTGTGTGCTGCCGGTCTTTAGAGGAAGGGGTGAGAGCTAACTGGGCAGTTAGGTCGCTATTTAAAAAAAGGAGCAACAAACAATTAACAATCCTACAATAATGCAGTCAAGCAGCTAGGAGCAAACTCCAGCTGTGGTTCTCGAGCGGACATGTGAGCCTTATAAACGAGCAATCTAGCAGTCTGACAAGGGGCAGCTCATGGGAGAGCCTCAGGCTCGGCGTTCCGCTGGGGTGCTTTTGGACAAATCGACCCCTGCTGCCCCAAGATGAGCCTATCCACGTTCAAAACCAAACAAGTTTGATTAGTGTTATGCAAGTTAGAAGTGTTCTGTACTTGTCTCATCAACTAATCTCATCATCTCATCTACAGGAATGTGCCCTCACTTCCCAACCAAGAGTTGCACAAGAATGGTTTTCAAACGGAAGATCGAACTCCCCATTTCTCCACTGAACACCGGAGATTCTTGTCAATTCCGCGGGCTGGTGGAGCCTTAAACCGCCCCTGGAGCTACAAGGCCTACTACACTGGCCAGAAGAAAGTTGCGCTTCTTGATGTTGAAACTCATGACAACCCTATCCCCGTAGAATCCTACACCATGAGACAAGGGAAGGTGTGGGCGGTCATTTGT